GCCGCTCTTCACGTGTGTGTGTGTGTGTGTGTGTGTGTGTGTTGGGGTGATTTGATGGGGAACGAATGACACAAAATACTGCTTTTATCTCCAAGGTCAAAAATAGAATTTAAGTGTAGTATGACAGTAAACAAATATTGTGTCTTTTTATCCAGCGTCCCCGTTTTTATATCTAAAATCACACCCTGTATTCATATATATATGTGTGTGTGTGTGTAGTATAAATCTGTAAGTGTTACACAGTTTAGTTAGTTAGCACATCAAAATTATTTGTACTTCAACATAAACACACGAATGAGTAAAAAAAAAAAAAAAAACAACACAGAAAAAGAATCTCTTTGCAGACGTTTGTTCACGAGGCCCAAAGGCGTGACATCAAAACCCTGACACATCTCATTTGTTCCTGTTATTTCTATTATTAAACCAGTTTGTTGGTGTTAATTCACAGGATGAAATGGAGGACAGGCAGCTAGTAGTTTTTCATCTTAATCAATAAAGTATTAGTGGATATAAATGTAACTTCATGATTTTGTTTAAAAACAGTATAATCGATATTTTGAGCTCAAGTGGTTGATTTCTAGAATAAATAATAAATAATAGAGAATATACTGACCTACGGTTACTTTTGGTGTTTTAGACCTTAAACAAACCCAGTAACAAAAAATAACCCGTTAGAGGTGTATTTAAACCCAACGTGGCCAGAAATATGTGGACGTTTGGTCTGTTTTAATGCCACAGGATACCAGTGGAGACCAGTGGTTCCCAACCTTTTTCCTTAAGGAAGACGTTTTCTATCATTGAGTAAACTGACGACCCCTGACTCATATTTTATGGGTATTTCATATTATATTCAATGCATAATAATAAGTGTACAGAAAAACTTATACATACAGTAAAAACAACAAGTGGAGGAAGTTTGTGCAAAACGAGCGATTTGGATGAATTTTGATTCTCCTGTGAATATTTAGTTTGAGTTTTCCTCATATTTTAGTAACTTTTTATACAATTCTTTGTCTGTATTATGTATTTTCTTTATTTTTTAACATTCATACATACTAATAAAGGGTGTTTTTTTGGACAAAGTCTTTTCTCCTCATTATTCTATTAGCTCTTTGGTAGTTTTACCTGTGTGCTTTTGCTAATGCAGGACGAAGGCTGTTTAGAGAGTGGAGGCTCTGTGAATATAACTTGTGTTCAGGTTTAGATCCTAAATAATAATATAAACTTAAAATGTGACAATTTCATGAAGTTTTTCTTCACAGAAATGAACACTGTTTATATTTGTAAATTCTTCTTTCCACAAGTTTTGTCGACCCCAGGTTGGGAATCCCTCTTTTAGATAACAGTTGTTTCCTATTTTGTGTCGCCAGTTTGGAAATAAGTCCCTTCCTTCCTTGGGACTCTGTGCAAAAAGTCAAGTCAATAAGGAAATAGTTGTCTTTGTTTTTTGGGATGAACTGAAGCTCTGACTGTGAGCCAGAATCAGGTGTAAAGACTGAAACCAGGAGACTGGAGCTTCAGATTAACGCCAATGGTTTTGGAATGAAATGTCCAACTATTACATATTAATATAATAGTCAGGTGTCCACACACTTTTGGCCACATTGTGAATATCAACATCCTATGAAACTATGTATGAATTATCTTTAAAAAATTAAAGCTCAACTTGTTTTGCACCTGCGATTTCACTGAGCTCAATAAGGATGTGTTCAGCTAACACGGATGGGAAAATCAGTGCAGCCCTACTAACTATTTAAAGCTTAGATTACCTGGGAAAAAGAATTTGATTCTATATTTAAAAAAAACAATAATTCAGTAACAAACTAGTTTTAGGGCTAAGTCAACTTTTACAGTTCAGCAACCGAGAGTTGATCAGGTTTCATTCGGGGGTTGAAGGTGTAAAAACACTGCACTGGGGTTGGACTGATATGTGAGTCGATACTGATCAGAAATCAGTTGACTTACCGAAATGCCCTTTTTATCTGATTCTCATATGTACAAATTTTATTTTTTTGAACCCATTAAAAGCATTTTGGAGTTTCTTTAGACCCGTTTTGGTGTCTCATGGTGGCCCTAGAGCCTGTTTACACCTGGTATCAACAGATCTCACTTCCCAGTTAGTCAGTGTTCATTATTACTGTCAGCAGCCCTGCAGGAGAGACGCTCTGTGGGGAGCTGTGGGGAATTATAACTGAACTTCATGAGCAGGACACACACTTTCACTTCCTCGACTGTGTGGAAATCTGCTGTTTTCATACACAGATGACGAAGAAAGGCATCCTGCTCGCGTCTCTGCTGCCTCTCATACTGACAGGCTGCCTGCCTGAGTCACTCACAGTGGGTGGCAGTAGAGGAGACTGTATCACCGTCTAGTAGCCGACACACTGGGGCAACGGACACGAAGATTTTTACACAAAGAAAGAAATAACTTAATGTGTATTGTTAGCCGAATTTACAAGAAGGCCCAAATAATTAAGAATTTGTCGTAAAAAGAGTTTCTCAAAGTTTATAAAGCTTCTCCTCGTTGAACAACTCTTAAAATTGTGCGTTTCTTAATGGAGTCTGGTGGTTTCTGCTGCTTATTTTGTGCAGGTAATAGAGCCCAAAATATGTAATCTGCATTACAGTGAACCAAACAGATGGCGTGTTTAGTGCGTACTCACAGGACGTCAGCTGAGTAGGCATGTTTTTGGACGCGTTATTAGATGTAATGTAACGATTAAAGATTTCAAATACAAATGTCATAATTATTGCATTAATTAAAGGAAGGAAATATATCCAGAATTTGTTTTTTTATGGGGTTTTTTTATACAGTTTTGTCAGTGAGTTTTTAAAGACATCTTGTGAAGAGGGGCTGAGCCATAAATTAATGCTGTTTTTGGAGCCATGGCACGGAAACATTTGGGAACTCCTGGTTTACGCTACTAAAGATTTGAGGTCAAATCCGTCTCAAACCACCTCGGTTAGTGGTTTGAGTGATTGTAGCACAATGTGACCCAGGATGCTTGTTAATACCAGGTGTAAATAGGCTCTAAATGTTATTTTAAGAGCTTTTGGTTCAGACAAGAACTGAATCATGGAGGAAACACAGAGGGCCAGATTTACTGAGGCTTTTAAATTGTTTTTTGGGGCTCATTATGCTGCAGTCTGTGTGTCTTTTCAGCGAGTGTTGATGAGGTTTAAATTAAAAGTCTGGCCCCCCGAGTGTTTGCAGTTTCTGGGAATTAAAAAGTAGTAAAAACAACCCTTCATTAGTCAAACCTCCAGCGAAAATAATCAAAGAACGCTGGTAGTTAAACTAGTCTGAGGATGAACTCATTTTAGGCCCTGGTGGACAAAATCACACACACACACACACACACACACACACACACACTCACACTCAATGAAAAACCTTTCTCGCCACCCTTTCCAGATCGGAAGACACAATCAGTCATTTCATCTGACAAACACAAGCCTTCTCTTTCCATTCATCCCAGTCTCGGCCTTCATCCTCCTCCCTCTTCAATCTTCTTTCGCTCAGGTCATAGAGCAGACATCGTAGAAAATTCCCTCATTTCGTAAACACAAACACACCAAGACACAGACACACACACACACACACACACCACACTCACAACAACACACAACAACACACCACCACACACACACTAAACACTCAAATGAAGAAACCATTTTTTCTTTTTTTCTCCGCCACCCTTTCCTCACTTCTCCCGGCTTCAAAGGTCAGAACGTTCGTAGTCGGGCAGGCGGAGTAGGAGATGCCCGCCCAACTGACGGAGGGCTGGAGTGGAGAGGAAGGAGCCAGCAAAAAGACGATCCTGGAGAAAAAAAAGAAGATTTAAAACATGATATTAATCAATAGATTTGGTGATAATCAGCGGTAGGTTGGACGGATGGATGATTTAACAACAAACCCACCTCTTTTCCGAATACCTCCCCAGCAGGCAGAGCGAGCCTCGGCTTGCGGGTGCGGGGGGTGGTGAGGCAGCTGAGATGCGGAGGAAGAGGTGTGATGAAGAGCCTCTGTCCTTAATCAATCCAGCCTGTCCTCATCTGCTCTATCGGAAGTCTCGTCATGTGATTATGGAGACCAACTGGGGGAGGGTGAGACAGCGAGAAGAAAAGACTGTTTATTCTTTCTAAAATTATATTTAAGTCTTTTTTTAAATTTTGAATATATGATTTTAGGTGTTTTTTTAGGTCGCTCATTCACTGTGATGCTCTACAGCAGTGGTTCCCAACTTTTCCTCCCTTATTTAGTAAACTGACTAAGTGACATATTTTATAGATATTTCATTTTATATATTTAAAACTGTACAATGAACCCAAACAGTGAACCTCAGTAACTGCAAGGTCTGTTTGTGTAAAATGAGAGATTTGGATGAATTTTGAGCAGATTATTAACTCTTTAGGGAACTTTTTATACAATTATCTGTCTGTATTGTGTATTTTTTTAAAGTAATTTTTAACGACTTAATCTGCTTTTTTTTTTGACAAGTTTTTTTATTCTCCCTGACGCTTGGCCATTGTTGTATTAGACAATTTATATTTACATTTCTTCACAGAAACAGATGAAATGCTGAAATATAGGCCTGCTGTGTATATTTTGTAAGTTTTCTTACATCCCTTAAAATCAAAGCCTCCACCACTTCCACTCTAGTTCGACATATAATCTGAAAGTTGCATAAATCACCAGAAAGGACCCATTGCAGAAAAAAGTGACTGTTACTCTAACATATTATATCATTAAATTATTGTGACTCATGCATTAATTTAAAGGCAGGATTTTACTGTTTTGTACAGGAATGCAACTAATGATTCATTTCATTATGGATTCATCTGCTGATTATTTCCTCCATTCATTGATTGTTTATGTCACAAATAAGTCCATAGTGACACATTCACAATGCTTGTTTCGTCCAACCAACAGCACAAAATTTAAAAATTTAAAAAGAAATCATAATAACTGAAAAGGAAAAAGCTGTTTGTTTTGCCTGAAAAATGACTGAATGATTATTAAAATAGTTCATTGATTAATAATTTCAGCTGCATTTATTTCATATTTGTGTGAGTAATTGTACTTTGTTACAGTCCACCAGTGTGTGTGTGTTTATGTTTGAGTACCTGATCGTAGAAGATGACCATGACAAACACGCCAAACAACACCGACTCCACCAGGAGGATGATGTAATGAGCGCTGAGGAGGGAGAAAGCAACAGAAACAACAACCCGCTGATTAACTGACTGACTAACCATCTGAAGACGCTCAAACACCAAAATACAGACGTCAGTTTGGCTTTCGGAGGACTCACACTATCAGGTGCTTGCTGGGCGTCTCCTCTCCTTCTTTCTCTGTATCGCCTTCTCTCTCGTTCCTTATCCGCCACACCCAGGCCGACACCACCAGCACCATGGAGTACAGACTGGCCATGCCTGCACACGCACAGAGAGACAGAACCACATTCACAACAGCATTAACTTCAGTTGTAGAGTGAACTTTATTGTCCCAGAGCAGAAATTTGTCTTGGACTCTACAACATAGAGTGCTACAACATAAAGAATTATCGCACAAACATCTTAAAACATGAAAGAGACATTTTACTTTTAACACAGACGATACAGCGACTTAAAGAGAGACTTTAGTAGTGGCATCAGATGAGGAAATATGATTATAAAGAGGAAGTATTCAGTGGATCTATAAAGAGGCTACACGGGATAAAGGTTCTAATAAAGGCGTCGGGGTCTTCGGACAGTTAAGTGGTTTGAGTCGGCATACGTAGATGTGACATCATTGGCTGAATTGAAACAGGATTTTAAACAGTTTATTGGGAGACTGGGATGTATACATGACTCAATGTGTTCCTATTATACTAAATTAAAACTTTTTAAACAATAAAAACTAAACTGAAACTTTGGAAAATAACTAAAAGTTCGAACCAACTAAAATTTAAATAAAAACTAATGAAAAATACTGAATAACTCACCGGTGTAGAAGAGAAACTGGATGAAATACTTCTGGTTTAGCTCTCCGACGCAGTTGTTGATCCTAAAAACACACAAATTTGAGAGAAATTGATGGAGAGGAAGCCGAAAAAAAAAACTGTCGAAAGACGACGAAGAAGAAGAAAGACAAAAGAGGACAGATGGAGGTCTTCTCACCAGGGACAGTGGTGGTCCATGCGGCGGATACACCTCTGACAGACGCGGCAGTGATGCGCTCTGGGAGGTCTGTAGGTTTCACAGCGACTGCACACCGTCCAACCTTCACAGCCCTGAAAGCAGCACGACAACAGGCGACAGATAATGAATTAAAACCGGTTGTATGTGTTTCCCTCTACCGTTACCTGTTTTTATACATTAAAATGCTTTATTTTCTTCTGTTAAAGGAGGAAAAACACACAGATCACATTTATGCTCCATAGAGACTTCGTGAAATCTGTAAAGTTTCAGTGACTTCTTAACATATAACGAACTAGTTGACAGACTCAAATCTCCAGTCAGTTGTAGCTTAGAAGCTCTAAAAAGCGGGACAACAAACGTTAGAAAACCCGCCGGCATGAACCTACAATGCCAGAAAAAAGCGCTCATCCAGTACTTTCTGTTGACCAATCAGGCGCTAATAATAATGACACTACAGACTCGACTGATGCTCACACATGAAATACAATCCCAGAAAACGTCTCTGAAGGACCGTAAAGTAATGATACTGTCTGTATGTGGAGGTTAATGATGAAGCACAGCCCGTATATAGTTAGACAAAGGGAGTGCTCATTACTGAATGAGGTGCACCTGACCTGTGATTAGAAGCTTTAAAGCAGTGAGACTGCTGTTTCCTCTCAGTCTGGGGTTGTGTGTTGCTTCTTGTCCTTTGATAGTCTTGATTTATTCTCGATTCAGGGACCTCCAGTATGTTTACCGCTGATATATTATCATTATATTGCAACAGGGCTCATGCGGCGTTTTAAGAGTAAAGTTGAAATCAACGTTGTTCAATGGAAACTGTGGAATGGAAATTGTATGTTTTGATTATTTAATGATTGTTAATTTCAAGAGTAAAGGATCAACAGTAGAGATGTTCCCATACCATTTTCTTCCTTCCCGATACCTGATCTTCCCGTATCGGCTCATACCGATACATGTGCGTTGTTGTTTTATTGTGGATTTGTTTCTGTATATCATGTTGTGTATAATTTTGTATGGCTGCTACCTTCACCAGGTCGAGAGATTTTTGATCTCAGTGGGACTTCCTGATAAAATAAAGGTAAAATAAAATCATTTTCGTGCGACCCGGCGAATGGGACACTGTTGGGAAGAAGCAGGGACCCCGATACCACATTTTAGGCGGGGGAGGAATTTCTGATAGTGTTATTGTTATCGGAGCCACTCTAATCAACAGAGGACTTATCTAACTATGAAACACACCAGGAGTCAGCCCAAACAAAACAAACCCAATCAGTCAGTGGAGCTGCAGACGTCTGACGTCTGTCATTAAGCTCAAAAGCCCAAAAGCAGACGTAAGTACAGCTGCTGAGACGTAAATACAGTCAGCATGAGATAAATATACAGAGGGTAATAATACAGTTATAATCTTACAGATTCTCTCTCTATTATTAGTCTTTAGTGGGAAAATCCACTCACAACTTTTAATTCTTGTTGAATGAAACTGTTTTTGTTCTGTTTGTTTGTTTGTCTTGTTCATCTTTATTTATGTGTGTATTTATTCTGCTGTACTCCCTTTAAATAAAGGTTGAATGAATGAAAACTCCAATGTATCTGAAATAAAGTTATGTGCAGTCAACTGGACACAAAAAGCAACCTGACAAGCCTTTTTTTTTGTTATTTGTTAAAATTTTAAAAATGTTTTCGAACATATTTTGAACTTACTTGGCCAATTAAAGCCATAAAATGTCCATAAACACTACACTTATGTTCTAAATGTAGTTGAGTTGTGTTCTTACATTAGTTTGAATTGACTTTTTATCCAGTGTGAAGCCACATTTTTACCTTCCACTGTTTAGATCTTGGTGCTTTTTAACTCGTAGATTTGAACCGGATGGGAGGACTTTTAGTCAGCTCGGAAGGTCTGGATCTTAAGTGTATCAGGAAAACAGCTGGCTGACGTTTAAGCGGCGGCTTGGGGGAGAAACAGTGATTTTTAAGGTGGAACTGCTTTATTCAGTGTTTTTACTGGTTTTAATCTGTTTGTTTTAGAGACGAGGAGACCTCTGTGGATAACTTCAGCTACTGAACGATGAACACTGAAGGAATCCAAACCGGGAGACTCACCCGTTCGTTCATCCGAGACGACTGCGAGCGAAGATCTGAGAAGTCTATGGCTGTGTCAGGAAGAGGCACCATACCTGGAAAACAACACGTTGAAAAGAGAGGTTAAAGCAAGTCAGAAGGAATCCTTTTCCAGGACATTTTCCAGGAGTTTTCTGGACAATACAGGACGGCACTTGCTCACAAACAGTCATATAATTTACCAGTAGGTCTAATATTAAGACATTCTCCAGTGAATTCACTACATAGCTTGTAAGTAACCGTTCAAATTAAGTCGAATTTATTATATTTTACAGAAAATGAATCTTCTCGCCTATTAAAAGAAGTATAAAGTGATTGTTGCAGGTACAGGTAACATTTCTGTGCATGCATTTATCAACAACAACAACAAAAAAGGTGGAGATCTGAGTGAGGGGATAATTTAGATTATTTCCAGGATTGTTGGTCATTTTTAATCAATCAAAAAACTACTCTCTACATTTCCAGGTTTTTCCAGGACGCGTGGGAACCCTCTCGTGGTTACTGACCGGGGTCTGAGAAGACGGCTTTGGAGTGGCAGGCCAGCAGCAGCAGCAGGATCAGGTTGAACACTGATCCGTGTAGAGTACACCACACACTGTCAGACAGGTAGAAACTGAGATTTAATACACAAAACAAGCGAGTTTTATTTATTCTGAGAAGGAAACGCTGCGTGGGACAGGACAGGAGCTCTTCAATTAA